CCATAAACCTAATGCATGAACAAATTGCCAGTTATAAACACGTTGAATATTTTCCTAAAAAAGTAATTCGACGTAAAAAGCAGTACACTTATTTCATGCATCTAAATAATCTGAAGTAAAAACCAAGCGACCGAAACTAAAAAGAATTGTGTAGTTTATTTTCGGATTTGATCAATAAAATTGTCCACTTCAAAGAAAGTTACGACTCGAAGAAAACTGAAACGGGTAAAGGTTTAAATTGGCAAAGGTCAATGAATACTGAACAAAAAATTCATCAATTACCTGAACGACTTGCTGAAATGAAACCTTTATCTGATGAAGTATGTCATTGGATTTCTTTTTAACAGAGAAGAGAAAACATAAATTGATTTTTAGGAAGGTGAAGATGATCAACCATTAAGCAAAGAAGAACAACAAGTTACTACTGAAATGATCGAAAAATGGGCTAATCAACTTCAAGTAAAAGATTTTTATCATACTCTTCGATTATAATTTTATTCAAATTTAGAAAACTCAACCAACCTTAAATAGTATTCGACATGTCCTACGTAGTTTTGGTTTAGCTGTTCAATCTGCTTATGGTGGAGCTGATGTATCAGCTGATACTGATGATAAAACAAAGAAAAAGAAAAAGAAACAATTGAAAACTGATGCAATTGATGATCCGGAATGTATGAATTCTCATTCTTTAGAATTTCTCAAAATTATTTTTCTTTCTTTTTGTAGCATTTAATGCAATTGTTCGTGTATGTTTGAAACAATTATTACCAGCTATTTATCGATTTCTTCGTATTAAACTTGTTACAACAAGTAAATTAAAACCAGAAACAAGTACAAATTGGAAATATATTGAACAAATTATGAAAAAATACTTATTTAATTTTACACGAGTTTGGTTCTCATTTAAATAATTTGAGAGTTTCTCTGATATATTTAGCTCATTTCAATGATTAATGTTTCAAGTACATTGAATATTCTTCTTCGTCATGTTCGATCTCTTATTCCATTTGTTATTATTTTACCTAATACACGTCAAGCACTTGTTAAAGTAAATTAAGAGAAAGTAAAAAGTTCTGATAGAAAATTTTTTTTATTATTCTAAGAATTAATTCATATATCATCGGATGAACGTAGTCGTGTTATTGCATTCGTTTGTTTATTTCATTTGATACGTGAACATCGAAAAGAAATGACTGGAATTGTTTTACGAGTAAATATCTTTTTCTTTACATATTAATCGATTTAATCAAATGTTTTGTTTTTATTTTTAATAGAAAATGTATTTGGATTACTTGAAAAACTGCAAATTTACATTACCAACAACACTTCCATTAATTAATTTTATACAAAGATCTTTAGTTGAACTTTATTCATTGGATCCAACAGTTACTTATCAACATGGTTTTGTTTTTCTTCGACAACTTGCTGTTCATTTACGTACAGCTACTCAAAATAAAAAACCAGTATTTGGAATTTTTTCCTTTGAATTGAATTCAATAAGAAAATATCTTTTTTAGGAAAATATTCAACGTGTTTATAACTGGCAATTTGTTCATGCATTAGGTTTATGGACTAGTGTTATTGGAGTATTATATAATAATAAGGAAAAACTGATTCAACAACTTGTTCATCCACTGCCAGAGCTTATTGTTGGTACAATCAGGTATGATGACTATTAATAATGTCTGTGGAAAAAGTTTTGGCCATTGTCGATCGCTGCATTAGCTTGGCTTCTCTTGTAGAATTATTATTTTTGAGATAAGTAGACTATTCACTTGTCGGTAAAATATAGCGAGCATTTAATCTAGACGTGAATAGATTTAGCCTTTTTTGGTTCCGCTGCTACTTAACAAAAATATTTTGATCTCAATCAAAACGATCTGTAACTATTGAATTTCTTTTGTTTCCATAGGTTAGTACCAACAGCTCGTTATTATCCATTACGATTTCATTGTGTTCGTCTTCTAATAAAACTGGCTCAATTGACACCAGTATTTGTGTCTGTCTTGCCATTTTACTTGAAATGTTTGATATAACTGATTTCAACAAACGTCATAAAACAGCTAGTCTCAAAGCACAATTTATCAATTTTGATACATCATTGCTAAATTACAGATGGATAATCGAGCATATAAGGTAACATCAATCAATTGCTTGTCAAACACAACTTTTTATTGTATTTAGGATGGTTTAATGGATCAGTTCTATGAACTTGTTGTGAACTATCTTGTTCATTATACTCATCATGTTACATTTCCTGAACTTGTTTATCCATTAATACTTAAATGTATATAATAATGAAAAATTCAAATACGAAAGATGAACAAAGGCATCTTTACTCAAATTGAATCAATTTCTCACAAACATAAACAAAATACACGTCAATCGGATAAAGATTTAGTACCAGTTGCATAGCTTGCGAAATACACATTCGCCGAGAATTTGATTTTCTAAAGAATGAATTCGCATGCAAAGGATGATCATAATGCGTATTGATGTACACGGTGTTCTTGCGAATTCTCTATTATTTTCTAACGAGTTTAGACACCCCGTCAAAATGCTTATAACTTTTCAACGAAGAGGGTTAGAACTTGCGGTTTTCAGATTCTAAAACTAGACACTCTGGGACGTAAACCTATGAAAAATCAGGGCGCCCGATCAGGTTTACCATGGTATACCATTCGAAAGAAAATCCGAGAGCTTACCATTCCCAAACCACCAGGATCGCACATCTACCTCCATTTTTAATGACGCATATATCTAGTTCACTCTCGGTCTTACACATATACAAATATACAAAGGAAGGAATTGAAAATAATACATTGAATGTGTTAGTGCAGAAACTTTTCGTTGTGCTAAAATAAGAGAAAGTTTAGGACGAAGGTACTTTTTCAAAAAGATGACCTTTATAGTCCGGCTGCTTATATATAGAAAAAGTATAATGAGATATGTAATAGCCTACAAAGTTGTCTATGACGGTTTGACATTGTTATTCTATCTGTCAACAAGTTCTCCTTTCTCGTATATATACACCGTCATAGCTCACAATTTCTCTAAATCTTCTACTTCACTGGGCATTGCTTCTCTCAACATTATTTACAATTTTCATTTACAATAGGAACGTAAGTTAGTCCTTATAGAGTTTTGTGCATATTTTGTTGCTAGTAGAGTGCTGTAGAATAAGATCCTTATGGCTGTACAGAAAGAAGATGAGGATAGAAAGGCTATGGTGATTTACATTGGTACTTTTTTCTGTCTATAACGTTTTTCCTCTTTTATCATCATACCTTTCTATACCTGAACAGATAGGAATTAAAAATTAGAAAACGGTAAGTGAAAAAAGAAAAACACAAAATTTTTTATATATATGTATAATAATGTCTTTTTATCTGTATTATTATGTGCTTCGCTTGGTGGTATTTTATTGTCTGTTCGTACTATCACCTAACTTTTTCAATTTCTAATTTTTAATTTTTAATTTTTGTCATATCCAGCGCTTGTGATTGATACTGTGATAGTGTCCGCAGTGGTAAATTGAATGTCTGGCCATTGTTTTTAAATAATATGCCACATTTGAGTATCTCATTTTGTTTTTGATGCATTTTTTGTCGACAGTAACACGTTACTATTCCTACTATCAGTATCATCCCTATTCCTATTACTATTCCTGTGAGAAACGCTGTCGTTCTCGTGTAGGATCCGGCTGTCATAGTACGTGCTTCTTGAAAATAGAATGGGGGGTGGCTAATAGACTTTGACTCGTTCATTGGTTTTAGTTTTAGAATTTCAGATATGTTTAGACTACGTATATCAGTCTAAAGCATAACCTTTTCCGACTTTAAGGACATACGTGCCGTTTTCTTTGCCTCCGTTTAATGAAATTTTATTGCTAGCACATATGAGACTTTCTCCACATTTTAGTTGAATAATAGTTATAGCAAATAACTTCTTGTACCTGTTCATACGAGGTATCCCTAATACATTTCATTGGTTGGTAGGTAGATATACAATCATTAATCCTTCTCCTATGAACTTAGTGTAAGGTGATACTATTCTAGTAACGCTTCCTGTACATGTACGGAATGTATCGCTTTCTACTAATTCTCTAAGACATACGTTTTGGATATATGCCCTCGATTCTAGTACTTCACGGCAAATTATAAAATCGTTCCCGGAGTTGCACTGGTCTTTGTCTAAAGCTGTTTCAAATTCAAGTATATTATCTGCTTCGCTGGTAGCTACCAATTTTGGTATGTTATTTAGTACAAAACCTTCCTCAGAGGAAGTAAAGATTGGTGTTGGAATGATCTGATATAGCTGGGAATAGGCTTCTTTTGGAACCATGAAGTGCATTCAGACTCGCATGTTCGCTATATGTTTAGGATGATCCTCTAGTATTGATACCATTTTGTGCGTTTGTTCCTCAATCGCTTCAAATGTAAATTCTATAGCGCCGAGTAGTTCTTGAACAAATGTAGCAATAGTAATGTCGGGAAATCTACCTACTCCGTCAGTCATCCATGCGTATACTGTTTCTAAAACTTCTCCATGTTCATGCATCGGTAAAAAATCCATGTTTAAATCATTTTTCCTATTACGGTTAATGCTGGCTACCATCCATTTATATGTGGATTGGTTTCGTTAGCTACGTTCTTTTTTAACATGCGGGTACTAACACTCTTCAGTACATTTTGATCTTTTACAACTGCTGTCATGGCACTTTCAATCGCGTCAATCTTGTACACGCAGTCTTGGAGTACTTTAGCTTCTTGTATACCGTTTTCCTGTAGCCGATAGATAACCGCGCTTTGCGTGTTGATTACCTGTGCGTGTTGCACTAGTATTGCTCGTGCATTAGACGCATCAGCTGCTAATTTTTGTGTTTGGTATGCTGTAAAGATACCGCTGGCTGTGGAAAGGTACTAGCTATCATAGAAATTGCTCCAAAGATCAACGGTAATGATCGTGTCTGTCTTATGGTTATTTCTTCTGGCGGACTCTGTAAGACTGTTTTGTAAACATTTTCTCTGAGTGTGTTACCTGGTAATATAGTGC